GTGCTCGCCAGACAGAAAGAGACATAGAGACAGAAAGCGAGAAATCACCCTCCAGGGGGGATGGTCACGCCGCAATCCCTTCTCCTCCATTCTCCTCTGGGGATCTTGGGCACAGACACACACGTGCCCGGCATGAGTTTTAAGCCACCGGGTCCAGGACGCGAACCGCGGTCGACTACGTGGGAGTCCAGCGACATAGCCATTATGCTAACTGCTGGTTCCCAAAAGTAATTCTTTAAAAAAAGGAATAAACAAGCAAATGGACACAACCCTGGTTATAAGCATCTTATCACACAAAGATGCATGCTATTCCTGTTATTAACAAGTACCCTAAAAGACCTGAGAAACCCAGAAATCAGGGTTTGCAGGCATCTTATTCAGGTTCCATCTAAGCAATCCAGCCTACCTCAAAGGTGTGCTGACCAGCCTGTTACACCTACATCTCCCTCCCTGCCTAGAGTCCTCCAACCCACTCACCTGAGCCAGCTGGTCCTCAGCCAAAACAGTCCCTCGCTCTTTATACTTGGCCTGTCAGACAAAGAGACCAGCATGAGTTGAGAAGAGGCGCTGGGGCTCCCACTTGCGGGGCGACAGTTTTCGTATGAAATGACGATAACCTCTTCTCAATGGTGTTTTAGGGAGAGGGAGAGGGTAAGGAAGTAGAATCGACTCGCCTGTAGTCAAATTTGGGGAAGTGGAGGAAAGGGCTGGCGGATCTGGGATGCTGGCGCTCCGATCCAGCGGAGCTGGAGCGACTCAGGTCCCCGGGCCTGAGAAGCCGTCCCAGATTCGGAAGGGAGGCGATCTAAGGGGAAGGATCGCTCCGGGAGAAGCCAGGGTCTCGCGGGTCAGGGGTGGGCTGCGGGTCGGCCTTCTTCCCCCTCACCTCGGCCAGCTTCTTCTTGGCGATGGCGCCGGCTCCCACCCCGCGGCGGTGCATCGCCGCCCTGGGCCCGGGCCGCCCCGGTGCTGGGACCCCAGGTCTCGGCGTTCGGGACTCCGCCGCTCGCTCCTAACACGGAAGCCCAGGCTGCACGTCATCGGCGCGCGCCGGAAGCCACGCGCCGCACTTCCTGCCGCGGGGGCGATATGTTCCGCAAAAAGCCCCGGCTTCCGCGGCTGGCTAAGCTCGGCTGGGCTCGGCGGCTGAGATTGCACCGGGCTGGCGCACGGGCAGAGCTCCGGGTGGGGACGCGGAGACCCGGTCGCCATCGCACGGTCCCGCGCGTCCTGTCCACTTGGACGCCCTGATCTTCTCGTGACTGTCACTTCACTCCACCTGGAGGTCAACAGGTGCTCCTGGAACACCTACTACGTGCTGACCATCGAGGGGTCCAAATTAAGCGTAGAACAGACCATAGCTCAATTCCACTATATACGGTCCAGTAATTTGAGGCAAATTCCTTAATGTCTTGTATTTCACCATCCACACTTGTGAATTAGAATAATAGCTAGTGATGAAATTATTGTGAGGGTTAAGTGAAAACACATGTAATAAAGCATTTAGTGCAACGCTTGGCGTAGAAATAACAGTTAAAATATGGGTTCATCATCTGGGGTTGGAATCAGACATCTATGTGTTTGGAAAGTCCCTCGGGTGATTTTGATAGCGTTACTGTGTCTAACAAGGAGCTAACGGAGGACTCTTAAATCAAGATCAGATTGTTTTTAGAAAAACTAATGGCTGGGGCCAGCAGGTGGTGTGGTGGTTGGGGTGCTGGGCTCCCACATGACCAACTGCAGTTGGAGTCCTGGCCTTGGCGGCTTGCTTTCTCATTTCCCTTCTGTGCCGTTTCCCCTTTGATGAGCACATGTACCCTATCCAAATTAAAAGTGATAATAAACATAAACACAATTAAATAATTATTTTTTAAGTTAGAAAAGAAAAACTAATGACAGCTTGGACTCACTCAAGTCAACTGTAATTCAAAGTAGAAACAAAGAAGGCTACAATTAGATCATGATGGTGGGGCCAGCAGGTGGCATGGTAGTTAAGGCACTGGATTCGCACATGATCAACTGTGCTTCTAGTCCTGGACCTGGTGTCTTGCTTTCTCACTTTCCCTCTCGCTCTCTTTGTCTCTCTCTCTAGTCAAATTAAAAATTAATAATGATTGTGAACCAGCAGTTAGCGTAATGGCTATGTCGCTGGACTCCCACGTAGTCGACCACGGTTCGCGTCCCGGACCCAGTGGCTTAAAACTCACGCCAGGTGCTTGTGCGTGCGTGCCCAAGATCCCGAGAGGAGAATGGAGGAAAAGGGATTGCGGCGTGACCATCCCCCCTGGGGGTGATTTCTCGCTTTCTGTCTCTCTGTCTCTCTCTGTCTGGCGAGCACACGCGCCCTATAGCGAAAACCTCTAAAAAAAAATTAATAATGATAAATAAAATTAAATAATTATTTACAGGCCAGAGAGAAGAGTACTGACAAAGATATTAAGGGAGCCGACAGGTGGTATGGTGGTTAAGGGCACTGGACTCCCACATGGCCAACCACAGTTAAGTCCTGAACCTGGTGGCTTGCTTTCTCTCTTTCTTACTTTGTCCTTCTCTAGTCAAATTTAAATAAATAAAGTTAAATAAAATAATTCTTAAAAAAAAAATAAGAAAAATAAGAAAAGGAACCAGCAGTTGGTGTAATGGCTATGTTGCTGGACTCCCAGGTAGTCAACCACGGTTTGAGTCCCAGACCTGGTGGCTTAAGCTCGTGCCAGCGTGAGTGCCCAAGATCCCGAGAAAAGAATGGAGGGGAAAGGATTGTGGCGTGGCCATCACGTGGGGGGTGATTTCTCACTTTCTGTCTCTGTCTCTGTCTTTCTGGTGCACACATGTGCTCTATAGCAAAAACCTCTCCAAAAAAAAAAAGATATTAAGAAGTAAAGTGGGGGACCAGCAGATGGCATAATAGTTACACCACTGGACTCCCATGTAGCTGACCACAGTTTGAGTCCCAGAACTGGAGTCTTAAAACACACCAGTGCATGTGTGTGCGTGCGTGTGTGCTAAAACTCCAGAGAAGAGAAAGGAGGAGAAGGGATTGCAGTGTGGCCATCCCCCCTGGGGAGGGGGGTGGTGATTTCTTGCTTTCTGTCTCTCTGCCACACCCTGCAGCAAAGTCTCTCAAAAGAAAGTGGTAAAGCTGCTTAGTAGTGTGGGTGGGTAAAGGGTAAGAAAGATGCTCAGTTTTCTAGTGGGGGCCACAGCGTGTGTCATTTAGAGGGCGGCGTAGGATGAAGAAATTAGGGAAATAGAGAGCGGGTTTTATTTTTTCATTCATGATAGAGCTCTGTGTGTGCACGTGATAGTCAGAACAAGAGGGAGATGAGCACCCTTCGCCGGGTTTGATCACATCGTGATTCCCCTCATCCCATCCTGCAGCCTCTTGGATCTCCAGCACCGAGGCCCATATCCAGTGTGTTTCCCGCTTACTGGGCCAGAGATTTGAGTCGTGTTTGCCATGTGGGATCTGGCTTCTCTTAAGCAGCACGTTACCATGTTACCGTAGAGCCTACCCTAAAGAGTGTTTTTGAACACATTAAAGAAAAGTCTGGGGAAGGCAGCAGCTAGCATGGAAGTTAAGGCGCTCCCACATGGATGATTCTGGTTTGAATTCTGGACCCAGAAACTTGAAAAGCACAGCAGACATGTGTGTACATACTGAAAAATCCCAAGAGGAGGCTGGAGCAAAAGGGATTGTCATGTGCCCATCCCCCTAGGGGGGGATATGATTTCTCACTATCCCTTCCACCCCCTTTCTCCATTGAGCACATTTCCCTATAGGAAAAAAAAGGAAAGAAAGTCTGTCTGGGACTAGCAGTTGGTGTAATGGCTATGTGGCTGGACTCCCATGTAGTCAACTGTGGTTCAAGTCCCAGACCTGGTGGCTTAGACTCACACCGGACACGTGTGCATGCGTGCCCAAGATCCGGAGAGGAGAAGGGAGGAGAAGGGATTGTGGCGTGACCATCCCCCCAGGGGGTGATTTCTCGCTTTCTGTCTCTCTGTCTCTGTCTTTCTGGCAAGTGCATGTGCCCTATAGAAAAAACCTCTCAAAAAAAAAGAATGCTTTGATCAACAATGGGCCACAAATACTATACTGTTCTACTAAGACTATGCCACAAAGCCTAGGTGTATGGTAAGCCTGGACCATAGGATCTATAAGTAAACAAATGCTATGTTTTGCTTTGTTTTGCTAGAGAGTGTGTTCTCCAGGGAACCAGCAGTTAGCGTAATGGCTATGTCGCTGGACTCCCACGTAGTCGACCGCGGTTCGCGTCCCGGACCCGGTGGCTTAAAACTCACGCCGGGCGCGTGTGCGTGCATGCCCAAGATCCCGAGAGGAGAATGGAGGAGAAGGGATTGCGGCGTGACCATCCCCCCTGGGGGGTGATTTCTCGCTTTCTGTCTCTATGTCTCTCTCTGTCTGTCTGGCGAGCGCACGCGCCCTACAGTGAAAATCTCTCCAAAAAAAAAAAAAGAGAGTGTGTTCTCCAGAGAGAGACAGAGAGGAACAGGAGAAAGTACACCCTGTGGGGGATGGTCATTTCCCCATCCTGTCAGGCACGCAGGCACACACACCTGGTGTGTTTCTCAAGTCGCTAGGTGAGGTCACCTGTGAACTGTGAGGTCAGCCATGTAGGGTCCGGATGCCTTAACCACCAGGCCACAGATTTGGCCCCACTCTGATTTTTGAACAAGATTGTCAAACAATGCATTTCTCAGAACATATCCCCAGCGTTAAGCAATGCATGACTGTACTGTACTGGTATGAAGCTCCACAGAAAGGGCTGGGCTGGGCTGCAGATGTGGAATCAGCACCGGGAAATCGTACATGTGAGTAATGGTGCCTGAGAGCTTTTGAATAAAAAGATGAAAAAGAGAGTGGGAGCAGAGTTTGATGGCAGGACACAGAGCTGCCATTCTGAACCTTGAACTACAGTGGAATGATGAGTCCACTGAGCCTGGATCCCTGAGGAGTTTATGGAATAGAGCTGTCACAACAGCCCTGGGCTTCCTGCCTCTGGATAGTAGGAGTGAGAGAAATAACGTTTTATCTTCTGAGGACTGAGGCTAGACTAATCATTCATAGTCACACCTTCAGACGCCGTGCTCAAACAGAATACACCTCCTAGACACAGACTTCTAAAACACAGATTTGTCCTCTCTACCTTATGCAAACCTTTGCTTGCTTTCTTTTCTTTTTTTTTTTTAATTTTTTTTGAGAAGTTTTTGCTATAGGGCATGTGCGCTTGCCAGAGAGACAGAGAGAGACAGAGAGACAGAAATTGAGAAATCACCCCCCAGGGGGGATGGCCACGCCGCAATCCCTTCTCCTCCATTCTCGTCTTGGGATCTTGGGCACACACACACGCACACACGCACCCGGCGTGAGTGTAAGCCACCGGGTCTAGGACTTGAACTGCTGTCGACTACGTGGGAGTTCAGCGACATAGCCATTACACTAACTGCTGGTCCCTCTTTTCCTTTTTTAAATTTCCAGTGAGTGTGTGGCACTTGCCAGAGAGAGGAAGAGAAAGCACTCCCCAATGGGGCATAGTGACACTGTGATCTCGTCTCCATTTCTCTGTCCTGTCAGAATTGTGGGCACACGTACACATGTCCTGTCATGTTTTTTAAACCACTAAGACCAGGATTTGAACCCTCAGTAGCCATGTGGGATTTGATTCCCTTAACTACTGAGCGACAGGGCCAGCCCTATACTAACCTTTTCAGATATCCTCACAGTGGGTGGCCGTTTCACACAGTGACCTCCTCCAGCGTATATTTCCCTTCTGCTTTATGTGAAAAACTGGCCCCTCAGGTTATACACATTGATCTCTTAGCCTCATCATCTTAGACCCCCAACACAGGAACTTGATCCTTCAGGTACACACGTGCTCCTCCCTTACTCTCTGACTCACACTGTATGACACCCTAACTTACACTAATACCCTCACCCACACTTGACCTCAGATCTAACAATTCATACCCTTAAATGCACACATACATACTCCCTTAGATGTACATAATAGCTTATTTTTAAATTT